CACACACACACACACACACACACACACACACACTTTTATATGTGCACTCATGCAGACACACTCGTGTATATAGACCCAGTCAGTTCTTTATACTGTATTATCCCTGTTATTAATATCATTTTTATAGAGTCCTAGTTTTGCTCTTACATTGATTATAGCTCCTGCTTGCTTGTGAGAACACATTCATGTAATTTTGTGTGTGCGTGCGTGCGTGCGTGTGTGTGTGTGTGTGTGTGTGTGTCACATTCTCATACACACACAGGCACATATTTCTGTCTTTTTATGACTGTCTTTCTCTTTCACCCTTTTACCTCCTTCCATTCCATCTCTCCTTCACATCCATCATCTCCAAGGCGACCGCCCCATGAACGCGCAGGCCACATAAAGATTAGCTGGTCTCTCTCGTGTCCCCCCCCTATATCCCCTCCACTCCCACCTACCCACCCCACCATGTGCCTGTCTCTCAAGCCTATAGAAACACTCCATCAGCATCCAGCCAAACATGTCTTCCATGCTGCTACACTCCACGGACCGCAATCACCAACATGCCATCGATCCTTGCCCCACCCCCCCTTCCCCCCGCCCCTTTGCCAGGTTTCAGCTGCCACGTGTCTTATTTCATTTGGCTAAAAATAACGTGTCAGTGTAAATTGTGACAAAAGAGACTTGCTATGTGAGGACTGAGGAGCTCTTTAATTTCAGAGTGTGACTACCATTATCAACTTAAATAATCCTCTATTTAATGTTTGCAGTCATTAATCAGAATCAATGATACTGGATAAAAAAAAATGCTGTTCCAAAGGAATGTTGACATGTTTGGTTTAGAAACTATTTTTCTGCATAACAGTGAAAAAGAAATCATCAAATTAATTCAAAGTGTCAGGGAGTTTGTTTCTTTAACAACTATAAACCAAAAGAAAGATTGAGAGAGAACCTTTTAGTGATTCTGTACTTGCCCCGTGAAGTTCACCTTGAAACTTTGATTATTTGCTAAGAGTGGAAATCTGTGAAGCTTTTCAGTGATCATGATGCAGAACTGATCAAAGTTCATCATTTACCAACAATATCATAGTTATGATATTGGTGTCTTATCAATACCTCTCAAGGCGTTCATTTATGAAGCACCCTGATTGGATTTGGGACTCTTTTGCTTGGCTCCCAGCTTAAAGTGTGCCACATTCGCCTCACTGGTTAATATAACCCACAACAGAAACTCTAAAACTGGAAACACAACTCCAAAAGAGTCACACGGTTGTGTAAGTAAGCATTATTTGATAACCAGTGTGCCGCCATATCATTTTAAAAGGCACAATGTAAGCATTGTTTTTGCAACTTGTTTCCGGTGCAACCCCGCCCACCACCAACAAAATAATTTAATGTTTTTACGCATTTAACCAACCAGCTGACTAACTGCACTGGAGGCTTCCTGGATTGACTAATGGAGTGTGTGGTTGTCGTACTGACTGGGTAATGAGTGAATCGCTGCGTGTTTATAAAGCAGTCATAGCCACGTCCACTGTGAGTATCTGATTGACAGTTCTGCCTGGCAACTGTCTTTGTCCCTCCTGAGAGAGGGAGAGAACTGAGTGCTGTTAGCACTGAGCAGAGGAGACAGTTATTGATTTTCTGCTTGTCTATTATTTTTGTTTTTTGCAGAGAAGAAACAAGTGAGCGAGTGAGTGAGGGAGGCTCCTCTTCTGTGTGCTGCAGATGCTTACACGTGTGTCCACTGTCTCCATGTTGCCTATTAGCTTAAAACTGTGGAAGTGTCAACACGCGCACGGTGTGCACAGTGTTGCTTCTATGCCTTTTTGACGTTCAAAGTTGATTCGCAGCCAACAAACGCAACGATCTACTCCTCAAACTGCTCGCTAATTGGACAGAAACTGGCAGGTGGAAGAAAACATGCGTTTGTGTGACTGTATGTTGTCTCTGTCTTTGTGTGAATCCATGTTTTTGTGAATATTAAATCTAATTATGACAGACAGATTTACAGTGATGGTAAAGTCAACTTTAAACTTTCAGTGCTGGTGAATAGAAAGCATAAAAGATAAAGATCAAGGCAAACCACAGCTCAGTCTCCAGATGTGAAGCTATAGTTTTCCAATCTGGCACAGATTCTTGAGGAATACATTCATAAGGCAACATTAAAACCTTTGTAAAGGGTAGAATTTTTGTTTTCCAGTATAGCCGCATTAGAATACATTAGCTCAGTGTACCTAATAAACCGGCAGCTGGTGTATGTCTAAACCTCAGCACAGACCTTGAGCTAGAATATTTGGCTGCCCTTGCTGCCCACAGTTTTGTGCATGAAAAGCTTTTCCTGTCTTTAAATTATCCAAGTGAGGATGGCGGCAGTCCAAATTTAGACCTGGGGCACCAAATTGAACTGTGTGTACTGTGGGGGGTGCCAGGGGTCAGTTTGAAATTCAGGAACTACTTCATACACTATGCATTAGGCATAATGTTCCGTCACAGTGCTGTGTAAGAGTGTGGCAACACCAACACCCCTCTCGCCACGCGCGCGCACACGCACACTGGTGTATGCATCAACTCCTGCTCGCATAAACAGCCACTTTCACACAAATAGTGAGTTTTCACGCACACATGCAGACACACACTGTCCCCCTTTATATCTCAGAACGTGAGTGGAACAGTAAAGCTAAATCCCCTTGTCACATTTGCCGCTCATCTCCAATTCAAAGGCACAGGCTGCGATGCCCTCGGATGCACTTGGCAAGTGAACAGCTAACCTGCCCGCCAGCATATCTGCCTGCCAGCCGAGCACAGGGGTAGTTAGCATGCCAACTAGCACACCCAGCAGCGTCAAGCTAATGCTTCACTAACCCTGTGTTGCCCCGCGTCTCTTCCTGCAACTGTGTGTTTGGATGTGTATTTACGCTAGAGGAGTTCAGTGTAACCCCATAGTAAATTGGCTTTCCGAAACAAAATTAGCTACAAGTGTAACTCTGTGTAAACATATAAAAACAGTACTTAATAATCTTATTTCAAGAGACTGCCAGGTCCCTTGGAAAGTATTTTGATACAGAGTAAATCTCCAAGGCTGCTATTCTTCATCCCCCCATTTAATCTTTTCGCTGCTTGGTTCCAAAATGAGGTGTCCTCTAAATTATTAAACCATGAGACTGGTTCTTACTTGGCAACTATTAAGTACAGTAGCTGTGCTAATATCACAATATATTGTTCTGCTTTTAGGCGATAATTCTTCTTGGGGTGGGATAAACGTTACCATCTGGTACTAAAAGTAAGAATCCAATAAGAAACCGCTCCAAACTGCATGCTACACCAAGAGAAAAATCTTATTTTGTGTGTGTGTGTGCTGCTGTGGAATGGTCTATATTAACAGGCACCAGGCAAATATGATCCAGTGCTCTTGATGACAGAATGAAAATGAGTAAAATCAGATAAATTAC